TCGACTCGATCGACCCAGTCGAGTACGCCACCATCCGGGACCTCGCCGAGGCGTCCGCGATACTCGCGACCGCCGGAGTGCCCATCGCGCTCTGGGGCTTCGACCTGGAGGCGTACTTCCGTAAAACCGGCAAGCAGCGGCGCGACGTCTGGATGTCCGGCTTCGTCCACGAGGACGGTTTCGGACTCGACGAGCGGATCCAGTTCGGGCAGCGCGAGGCTCCAGTCCTCATGTCCCGACAGAGCTGCTATCTCGTCTGGGCGATACGTCGCGAGATCGAGCGGCTCGAAGCCAAGTACCCGCCGAGGGATCCCGTGGTCAGGCGCTGGCTCGAGGCGCGGCGTCGGCTCGCTGCCGGCGCCGCGGCGTACCGCGGGGCCGCTCTCTCCTTCATCCTCATGTACGTCGACGACCTGGGCGGCGTCTGCGTTGATGATGACGTCGAGGTTGACGGAGTCGTGTGGCGGCGCAGCCAGCTTTACTATGTGGCCGCCAAGGCTGTGGTCGAGCAGCTCGGCCACTCCATGGCCGACGACAAGCTCAGCCCACCTTCGCGCGAGGGCATGGAGTTTCTCGGCGCGTACCTGCGGATCCTAGATCAGCGCGTCCTGCCCGCCGAGGGCAAGTGCGAGAGGTATGCCGCGGCGACTCGCGCCGTCCTCGATGTGGAGCCGTCCGGAGGCGTCGTGGTCGTGCCGAAGGAGGCGCTGAACTCGCTCACGCACAAGCTGCTGCACGCGGCCTCGTTCATCCCGCTCGGTCGGCAGCATCTGTATCACGTGCGTCGCGCCCTCAAGGCGGAGAACAGGCTCGCCGGCGCGAGGGCGACGCTCGGCAGGGCCGCGCTCGCCGAGCTGCGGTGGCAGCTCGCTCAGCTGGAGCTCCAGGAGCCCGTCGGTGTACCGTTTGCCACGCGGAGCCGCTTCCCGGCGGCGGGATCAGCCGGAGTGCTGACGCCCTACTCGGACGCCTCGAAGGAGGAGGACTCCTCCGAGAGCGGCTTCGGCGCGTGGTGCGTCATCGACGGCACTTTCGTGTACGTCGAGGGTCGCTGGACGCCGGAAGAGTGCAAGCAGCACTCGATCAACGTCCTCGAGCTCGCGGCGATGAACATCGGCACGTTCGCCTTCCTCGACTACGCCGAGGGGCGCGGCTTTGACGTGCAATACGTGCACGAGTTCGTCGACAACGAAGCCGCCGAGTTTGTCGCTGACCGCGGCAAGCCGCGGGCGCCCGCGATGGAGGACCTGCTCGGGAGACGTTACGAAGCCTTTTGGGAGCGTGGCATCTTCGCCGCCGCCTCGCGCATCGCCTCCGTCGATAACGACATCGCTGATGGCCTGTCGAGGGGCGGCGAGAGGCTCGAGGACGCGCTGCGGATCGCCGCCGCGTCGGGCATGCCGACTCTCAAGCTCGAGCCGCAGCCGCGGTGGCGACAGCTGTCGTGAGTCCGTCCCGGGCCGTGTATGGCGCCGCGGGCGGCGGGTGGCTGGTTGCCCCCAGAAACCAGCTCGGGTACCCGTCTCGCCGACGTCGGGCGGGACTGGTACGGCAGTGGAGGCAGGAAGCCGCCCTGCCCGCGCCGACCGGACGGAGTAGTCCGTCGAGCGCGCCGTGGGGCCTGGAGATGCCCCGGAGCCAAGGAGCGTGCTGTCAGGGTCCCTTCAGGGAGCGACTGCACCGTGCTGTCAGGGTCCCCTCCGGGGAGCGACGGTTCGAAGGGCGCTGTCAGGGTCCCCCTCGGGGAGCGACGGCGCCCGACCGTCAGGGTCCCTACGGGGAGCGACGGCTGAAGCGCAAGGGGTACTGTCAGGGTCCCTTTAGGGAGCGACGGTGCCCTACTGTCAGGGTCCCCTCCGGGGAGCGACGGTTCGAAGGGCGCTGTCAGGGTCCCCCTCGGGGAGCGACGGCGCCCGACCGTCAGGGTCCCTACGGGGAGCGACGGCTGAAGCGCAAGGGTACTGTCAGGGTCCCTTCAGGGAGCGACGGTGCCCTACTGTCAGGGTCCCTACGGGGAGCGACGTTCGAAGGGCGCTGTCAGGGTCCCCCTCGGGGAGCGACGGCGCCCGACTGTCAGGGTCCCTACGGGGAGCGACGGTACGCAGCCGCGGCAAAGGGCCTGCGCTGCAGTGGTCGCCACTTCAAATGGACTGGCGGGCAATGGGTGGATGACGAACGGCGGAACAATCCGTGGCATGGTTGCTCGGCCGGGAGCGTCGCTCTGATGAGCAGCGCCTCCCTCTCCCCGTCCTAGTCCCACCACACGCCTCGTGCGCATTGCCACCGGCGACTCGCCGGTCATCCGCATCTCTCTGGCCTTCTCAGGTGAGGAAAGGCCGCCTCAGCCGGATCCCGGGTACGGCTACGCCGCGATGCCGGGCTGCGAGGCGAGCCGAGAGAGCACCACCCCGGTACCTGATCCATCGAGCCAAGCGCCCGCCCTCGCCCCGCACTGGCCGGGGAAGCGGAGTGCGCCGGAGCCGGATCCGCCGCGTTGGCGCGTCGACGAAGCGACGAGGGCAGCCGGGGCTGGCCGCGTCGCCGATCCAGAGAGCGCCCGGCGCGGAGGCAGCGCCGGAGGTGCCGGGCAGGGGGCCGTCTGTGACCCGTTCGTGGGGGGCGCGCCGCTCACTGCCGTCGCCGTCGAACGACCCGGCGACGCAGACGCGCCCAAGGCCGACGCTGCCCCGATGGGGAGCGCGTACCGCGAGCTCGAGACAGCCTCGGAACGGACAAGAGCCGATGGCGCCGTGCTCGCGGATCCGAAGCTTCGCCGGATGAGCGTTCGTTTCGCAGAGGCGATGGCGGTGCCGCCTGGAGACTTCGTGGAGGAGGAGGGCGGCCAGCGCGTCTTCGTGAAAGACGAAATCGCGCCCAGCCGCGCGTTCGCGGCGCTCTCGATCAAGGATCCAGCCGCGCGCGACGCGATCGGCTCGCAGTACCTCGACGACGAGGGTGAGCCGTTCAAGTACTCGTTCGACGCCTCCCTCGAGCCCAGCTCGCACCCGCTGGACGCGGAGAAGCAGCTGGAGCTACGAGGGCTCGACAAGGGGATCGAGCAGGCGCTCGAGGCCGCCACCCGCGATATGAAGGGCGGCGCAACATCCACCGGCGTCAGGGCGTGGCACGCCTTCTGCCGCCACTTTGGCCTCGCGCCGTACCGCCCGTTAGACACTATCGCCACTCTTCCGCGGAAGCTCGCCGAGGAGCGGCTCGTCATGCGCTTTGTCATGTGGCTGGTCGAGTCGAGGGACATTCTCGCCTCGACGGCAGCCAATTACGTAGGCTCGGTGCAAGGATGGCACCTCCGCCGAACGGGAGTCAAGTTGGCAGCCGGGATGAGGCTGGCTCGCGTGGCCGAGATGGTCAAGGGCCTGCGGCGGCTGCGAGGCGACCCCGGCCGACGAGTGCGCCGAGGCGTGTCGCCCGACGTGCTGCGCGCGCAAATGGACGCGATGCTCGATCCGAGGACGGTCGATGGCGCCAACATGCGCGCCGCCCTCTCGCTGGGCTTCCAGGGGCTGCTGCGGGGGGCCGAGTTCACCGTCAGAGGCCGCCAGTGGGACCCCGCCAGGGACATGTCGCGAGCTGACGTCGCTGAGCTCTCCGCGGAGAGAGCGGTCGTCATGATGCTGCCGTGCAAGAACATGCAGCATCTCAACGGCAAGACCGTCCCGCTCGTGGTCGGTGGCGGCGGGCTGTTCATCGACGCCCCAGCTGAGCTGCGCAACCTCCTCACCGTCGACCCGGTGTACGGCGACCGCGCCACGCGCACGCCGCTGTTCCGCCACGCCGATGGCTCCGCCATCACCGAGGCGCAGGTGCGGGACATGATCAAGCGGCTGATGCAGCGCGCCGGTGCGTCGCCCGCCGAGTTCGGCGCCCACTCGCTGCGCATTGGTGGCGCGACGGCGCTCTTCAAAGCGGGCGCCTCCCAGATCGACATCATGACGATGGGGCGGTGGTCGTCCGACTGCTACCGCCTGTACGTCCGCGCCTGCTTCGGTCACGCCGTCGAGTGGTCGAGGAAGGCCGGGTCCACTAGCGTCGACGACGTCGCCGAGGAGTACAAGGAGGTGGACTGTTACTGATGGAGGTGCCTGACACGCGATCGCGTGGGGGGGGACTGCGCCCTGGCCGTTCCGGGCTCACGCGGTGGTCACACCATCCCGGAGAGCGAGGGGTAGGGAGCAGCACCTCCCCCCTCACCACGCATGTCAGGCGCGGCCGCCGCCGAGCGCGGCGGCCGCCCAGGCCTCGTGGCCGATTTGTTTGTCTCGCAAGAGGAGCGCATTTCTCAATTCAACTACCTCCTCTTCTTCGAGACCCTCTCGCGCTATGAAGGCGGGCGAGAGGAGGGAGGGGCCCCTTGCAGAGGTGGCGTGAATGCTTTAGCATTCTCGCCCGCTCTGCTGAGGGGAGGGGCAGGACGAGCGGTCGCCTGAGGCGCCTATCTCTATCCACCCTCTCTTGTGGTTTGCCAGCGGGGCACGTGGCCAAGGACGACGTTTCAGATCGCGCGTCCGCTTGTTTGCGCACCCGCGTGCTCGTCCACGCCACTGTCCTCCCGCCCCCCTTTGATCTCTGTCGCCCCACCCGCCTCTCCCGAGCGACTGAGATTCGAGGTTGGTCTGTTCTGTTATCTGTTGGAGTCTTGCGAGTGTGTCCGTCGTCGTACCCTCCGCCGTCCATGCATGGTGTGTGTGGAGTGCTGTCTGTGGTGTTTTGTGGGGTGTGTGGGGGGGGAGGGGGTAGGGAGCAGCACCTCCCCCCTCACCACGCATGTCAGGCGCGGCCGCCGCCGAGCGCGGCGGCCGCCCAGGCCTCGTGGCCGATTTGTTTGTCTCGCAAGAGGAGCGCATTTCTCAATTCAACTACCTCCTCTTCTTCGAGACCCTCTCGCGCTATGAAGGCGGGCGAGAGGAGGGAGGGGCCCCTTGCAGAGCGGGGACCCAATAACGATCGATTTGTTTGACAGCATGGCGGCTGATCGACCAGGAATGAGAGACGACGACCCGGAGTGCGCCTTCGCCGTTCGCATCGTCAAGCTGGAGCCGGCGCGCACGCCTCCGGTCCAAGGCCTCGACCCGACTCACAGCCCGCTGACCGGCAGGAAGATCCGGTGCGGGCTGTAGTCGTACCTGCGCTTCCGCTGATAGCACACGCTGCCGGCCGCGAATCGCCGCGACGCAGCATGCGACTTAGCGTGCCGCCTCCGGCCGCAGGCACGCGCCGGTCATGCGCGTCTTCGGTTCCACGCCGCGCGGGCAGACGGCGTGCGTGCACATGCACGAGGCGTTCCCGCACCTGCTCGTGCCCGGCCCTCACTGGCTGGCGTCGGCTCCGGACGAGCGGGTGGCGGCGTTTCGCCGGAGGGTGGCGGACAGCCTGGACGCGGCGCTGGCGCACCGCGAGGACGAGCGCGCCGCCGAGCGAGCCGCGCGGGCACAAGCCGCTCAGACGGGCGGCGGCGGCGGCGGCGGAGGCGGCGGAGGCGGAGGCGGCGGGCGGGAGAGGGCGGCACGGACGAGGGCGGTAGCAGCAGCGCCCGCCATCGGCTGTAGGCGCGCCGGCGTTGGCGGAGCGTGAGCGGGCGAGGGTGTTTGACATCGCAGTAGTGTCGAGGACCCCGTTCTACGGCTACCACGCCGAGGCGAGATCTCGCCGAGATACAGCCGAGATGTGGCCTCACGGAGGCCGTTCTACGCGCGCGCCGCCTTCTCGCGGCTCAGTGGAGGCGGATCAATCTCGGCTCATCTCGGCTCATCTCGACGCCCTTCGGCAGGCGCGCCCTTTTTTGCGTGTCGTGCTGGTCGAGACGCAAGCCAGGGGCGTGGACCAGGTGGGGAGGGGGGTGGAGGGGGGGCCGGACCGGCGTCGCCCCGGCAGAATGACGAATCTCTCCACCCCTCGGCAACTAGGTCGTCGAGGCGGCCGACCTCTTTCTCCTCGGCCTCGTGCCGCCGCTGCAGCGGGCGCAGCCGCCGCCGCATCGGTCACCGACCGCCGCGATTCCTTCCCAGGCCACCCACCTGTCCACACACCCGCAGGCGCAGCCGTACGAGTCGCACGTCGGGTACGCGCTCAAGTTCAAGGCCGGCCTGGGGCCCTCGCTGCGGGGAGGGCCCCGTGGATAGCCGCCTCTTCCACCCCCCCCCCCCCCTCTCTCCCGTGAGCAGGTCGACCTCAACCTGCACGGCATGGACTTGCTCCGGCTGGGTGGCGCCTCTCTGCCCGCCCTGAGGCCGGGCCTGCCTCGGGCGACGGCGGCGCGCCCTCTCGCCTCTCCACTCGCCTCGCAGACTGGCGGCGGCGAGGGGAGCGGCGGCAGCGGCGGCGGCGGCGGAGGCGGCAGAGGCGGAGGCGGCGGAGGGGGAGGCGGTGGGAGCGTTGGAGGCGGGAGCGAGAGGCGGCGGAGGGAGACGGGGCTTCGAAGCGTGTGGACGGAGGGGGCGACGCACGGGGCAGAGGAGTCTCGGGTGCCCCTCGGCCAGATCTCGGGGAGGCGTGTGCTGTAGGAGGGGGAGACGCATGGCTTGTGCGTGCGGTACCTCGCGCCGCGGCTGACCTCTTGCGAGCTCGAGCTAGACGCGGCACCGGCGCAGGTCCTGCTTCGAGAGGTGCTGCGCGAGTCGCTCTCGCCCTCTTCACAGCCACAGCTGTGAGCAGGTGCTCAACGCGCGAGACGTGCTGCACGAGCCCCTCTCGTCCGCCCGCGCCGACGTGCAGATGGTGCCGCGCCCCTCCCCGACTTGTGCACTTGTCCGCCGGTGAGCTGCCAAGCCTGTCAAGCGTGGGCCCTCAGGTCTCCTCCCTCTCCAATTTGTGGAGGGACGAGCGCGACAGGTCGGGCAGCGCCACGACTCTGCACACCTCGAGGCCCGCCTCTCCACACACCTCCGCCCCTGCGAGCAGGCGGGCAGCACTCGGGCTTGCCCCGCTGCGCGGCCCCAACGGGTCCCCTCGAGGGCGGCACGCTGGCCGGCGTCCCTCCGTTGTCAACGAGCACGGATGCACTCTTAGGACTCCCGAGGGAGGCACGCCGGCGGCCGAGGCGTCGCTGCGATGTGCTCTTCCTCCCGCACGCAGCGGTGCGGTGCGGGACCAGTTCGAGGCGGACTAGCCTGTAGTTCATTGCTAGTTGTAGTAGCAACAGCGGTGCGATGCGGGTTCGATCGAGCGCCACCTCTTCACACCTGCCTCTTCACACCTACCTCTTCACACTTGCCTCTTCACACCTGCCCGTTTCCTTCACACCTACCTGTTCACACTTGCCTGCAGGTGCTCGAGCAGATCCTCGCCGCCACCGAGGCGGACGAGGAGGAGGGAGCGGCGGGCAACGAGGACGGCGGCGGAGGGTCCGGGGACGGCTAGCGGGCCCCGGAGGGCTCGGCTCTTCTTCCCCGTGTCACGCTGCAATGAAGTGCTGTGTGTTGGTGATCAGGCTGGGCCATGGACGGCCCCCTCTCCCCCGTCGCGTCTGCCGATGCGGCGGGAGGCCCGACCGAGCCGCCGGGAGGGCTCACCCAGCTCATCGACGCCGCGGACACGGCAGAGCTGCAGGCGAAGGTGCAGCAGGCAGGCCGCACTGATCGGTCATCTGGAGCCATCGATGCGTTGCTCATCGACAGGCGTCGCAGCTGTCCCAGCAGTCGGAGCCGCCGCAGCTGTCGCAGCCGCCGCAAGACGGCACCGCCGCGCTTCTGCGGTGTCTGGCTGCCTCTCGGCCAGGACTCGGCTAATCCGCCTCCGCGGCTGAGTCAGGCCTCGACGCGCTCTTGCGGGAGATCAACCAGGAGATGGCGGGGCGCGGAGGAGGAGGCAGGCGGGGAGGCGGCTTCTCTTCACACCGCCCGCCGCCGTGAACAGGAGAACGAGGAGGCGTACGAGGCGGGTGGCCTCTCCTCCCAGCCGCTGCAGCCGTCCCAGTCGCAGCAGTCTTCCCTCGGCGCGGAGGCCGACGCCGCAGGGGCATACGCCGAGGGGGAGGAGGAGGAGGAGGCGGCGGAGGAGGAGGCACTCGATACGGCGCGGCTGTGAGCAGCGTCTCTTCACACCTCCTGCCGTGAGCAGGTGGAGGAGGTGCTCGAGCTCGAGGCGGCGGCGCTCAAGGGGATGCCGCGGCGAGCGCTCGAGGCAGCCGCGGCCGCAGCCAAGGCTTGGAGCGGGCAGCTGCTCTTCACGGCCTCCTTCTGTGAAGTAGGAGCTGCGTTTGCTCCTGCTCCTAGTAAACAGCTGACACCAGTCGATGAGCCCCTGCCCCGGTGTGAGCAGGAGCTGCAGCTGCAGCTGCTCCGGCTCGGAGCAGTCACCTCTGCGGCGGTGACGCGGCTTGGGACGGTGACGGTCGAGGCGAGCCCGTGCCTGCGCTTGTGAATGCCGCCACTTGATCAGTTGCTGTTCACCTATTGAGCTCGCGGTGGCGGTGGAGGCGAGCCCATTAGTTAGTTGCGAATGGCACGAATTGTGATGCAGCCCGGTGGCGGTGCAGGCGCGTCTTCCCGCTCTCGCGCTGCCGCGGCTCGAGGAGCAGGTCCGCGACGGTCCTCGGAGGGTGGTGGTGGCCCGGCTGGACCAGGCAGCTGAGGGAGCCATGAATCGACCCGTAGGTCCCCGCGGCGGTCTTCGGAGGTGGCGGCCGTTTGTCAGTTTAATCAAGGAGCTGTCGACCGCCCCGCTTGACAGGTGCGCGCGGTCCTCGCAGGGGCGGGCGTCTCCACCGGCGCCGATGGCATTCGCCGAGGTGCGACACTGCGCGGGGCAGTCCCCGAGACTGCGCCGCTTCTTCTTCAGGCGTGGCGCCGAGTTTCGAGGAGGAGTTGCAGGCGTCGCAGCTGGCGTCGCAGCAGCTGGCGCAGCGCCTGAGGGGGAGCGAGCCCGCCGGGGAGGGCGGCGGCGGCGCGGGCTGGGAGGGGGAGGGGGCAGGGGAGGGGGAGGGGGCAGGGGAGGGGGAGGGGGCAGGAGAGGGGGAGGGGGAGGGGGAGGGGGAGGGGGCGGGCGTGATTCCGCAGTGGGACGGCGGCGGGGACAGCCCTCAGCGGCCGGACGAGGAGAGGGAGCCGGAGGAGGAGAGGGAGCCCTCCTCCTCCGCCACCAGCGCCGCCGCCACCTCCTCGTTCGCATCCTCGGGGCCTCCGCCCTCGGCAGCGGCGACGGCGGCAGCGGCGACGGCGGCGGCGGCGACGGCGGCAGCGGCGACGGCGGCGGCGGCGACGGCGGTGGCGGCGACGGCGGCAGAGCGCTCCCCCGTTGCTGCTGCCGAGCAGCCAAGCAGCAGCTTGCTCGCGGGTCTACCGCCGGACCTGCCCGCCTTTTGCAGGGAGGCGTACCTCCGGGCGTACCGCCGCGAGTCGGGGAGCGGCAGAGGAGGCGGAGGGGGTGGCGGAGGCGGCGGGCTTGGACTGGGCGGGGATGGGCCTGCGGTGCGGGTGTCGGGCGTGAAGCGAGTGCGCGAGGCGTCCGACACGAAGGAAGGCGGCGGTGAGGCGGAGGGGTCGGCGGAGGGCGTGGCGGAGGGGGGGACGGAGGAGGGGACGTCGATGGATGTGGAGGAGGGTGGAGCGGCGGCGGGAGAAGCCATGGAGGAGGAGGGGGCAGAGGCGGTGGCGGTGGCGGAGGCGGAGGAGGAGGAGGAGGAGGAAGAGGAGGAGTTGGAGGAGGAGGAGATAGAGGTTGGGGTGGACTCGGAGGGCGCGGCATCGGCGGCGGGGGCGGGGGCGGGGGCTGGGGCGGAGGCGGGGGCGGGCCTCTTTGACGAGTTTGCCGACGAGGAGGAGGAGGAGGGCGGTGGCGGGCAGGCGGCCGAGGAGGAGGAGCTGAGCCAAGCAGAGCTGAGCCAACTGCTCGTCGTGCAGCGCCCGCCTCCTCCGCTGTCCGCGACGCCGCCAGGGTCACCGACAGAGCGGTATGCCCCCGCCTCGCACGCCGCCTCGCACGCCGCCACGCCCGAAGGGCTGCCCGGCGGGACGGAGATCCTCCCCGGAGGCACGCTGCTAGACCCGCTGCTCGACCTCCCACGCTTCTTCGCCCCCGCCGACCAACAAGGACCGCTCACCTCGCCGGACCCCGACGGGACAGTGCCAGAGCCTCCACCTCCGCACTTCCCGCAGCCGCCGTCTCCACGCAGCGGCCCTCCGCCATATCTCGAGCCCGCACACGGCGCTCGCTCGTCGCCGCCTCCGCCGCCGCCGCCTCCGCCGCCGCCGCCACTGCCGCCGCCACCGCCTCCGTCGCTCGCGACGTCGCCGCCGGACTACCCCGACCACCCAAGGCCAGCTTCTCCAAAGTACGACGAGCGAGGCAACACGCTAGGAGATTGGACGGACTTCAAGCAGCGAGACGAGTCTGGCTTCAGCGATGAGTCGGACCCGGAGGAGCAGTCGCGGGCTGCGTCGACGGGCGTGCCTGCCATGAGCCACGGCACCGCACCGCCGCGAGCTGGCGAGCCGACGGGGCGAGCAGCGCGAGGCGTGTGAGGAGACGCTGTTCACGCAGCCCATCTGCGAGCAGGCGGTGCCGCGGGGAGGCAGGCAGCGCGAGGGCTCAGCCGTGTGATCTCGAGGGGCTACGGCCCCCTCGCCGCCGGCTGTACGGCGCCGCAGCCTCGGGGAGGCGCGTAGCATGAAGTGCTGCCACTCGCCATGACGGGAGATGTGAATGATCGCAGGTGCTGCGGCCGAAGGAGGCGCCGCCGTCTCGAGCGGCGGTGCAGGAGACTCTCTGGCCTCGGGTGGTGCCCAAGGGCGTTTTCTACTCGAACCGCGCCGACCTCGAGGCGGACGGAGGCAGCTGCAGCGCAACGCGGTCCGGCGGACGGAGTCCGTCGCTGACGAATCACTCGCGACGGAACTTGCTCACTAGGCGCCTCGCGGGCATGCTCCATGGTCACGAATGAATCGGGGAAGAGTCATTGAGTGCCACTAGGCGCCTCGCGGGTCGTGCGGCACCGCGAGCATCGCTTCGGCTCTGCGGGCGCCGCCTGGCCCTGCAGACTCTTCTTTACCAGCGAGCCATCAGCCATCAAGGTTCGTGATGCTTACCAGGCGCCGTTTCGCTCTGCCGCTTCTTCTGCGACGCGCGCGGACGCCCCGACGGCTGCCCCGCCTGCCGGCAGGAGAAGCTCTCTCACTCTCCCCTGAGCCCTCTCT